GCATCCCTCGCGGAAATTTGTGCCCAAATCTTTGGTAGTTCCATTTGCAATGTGAATTGACTTCAAGACCTGGTGTCATTTGACGACTGATGGTGTATATTTGTTTAGTAGTCGACACTTCCAACAAGTTCTCATATCTAACGATGGTACTGATTCTTATGCTCTTTTGACACCCGGGACGATACCAAAATGATTATACATTTTATGAAATGTGTTCACCATATTTTGTTAAAAGTGATGGATTGCTGGTAGTTGAATTTTTCCCACAATCACATGAGTAGACCTTACGTTCCCGTTGAGTTTCACATGGACTCGAACCCGGATAGTTCCGTGTATATGATCGACACGTTGCCCACTATGCCACACTGCCACAAGGGCCGTTGTATCACAGGACAGATGTGAATTTCAAAGAAGGCCAGGCCTTTTACTCTATCACATTTGTGGTAGAATTGTAGGTGAAACAAAGTTGTATGATTTGTGTTCATCATATTTCGTCTGAGTTGATGAAGGACTGGTAGTTGAATCCTCCTACAATCAGATTAGTAGAACTTATTTTTTTCCATCGAACTTCACATAACCTTGCTTTCTCAAAAGCTATCCTCATCCAGACATAAGTGGACTGCTATTTCATACTCGCGGGAGTCGAACCATGACAGTGCAGCGTTTAAGCTCGACAAGTCAACCACAATGCAACATTGTCGCAAGTGCTCTTGGGTCACAGGGTAGATGTGAATTTCAAAGAAATCAGGCATTTTTCATATTACATTCTGTGTTGGGATTGTCGATGAAACAAACGTATATTTGCTATAACAATCGACGACATTAATTTTATCGTAAATGAATAGGTTTTGTTCAAAACGATGAAGGAGTGGCAGTTGAATTTGCCCACAAGGATGTAAATAGAGCTGCACGGTCATGGTTCTGCTCCTGTTTGGAATTGCGAGGTCGAAACGGCAGTCCACCCTGGATGAAAACAAATGTTTGGAAAGCAAGGCTATGTGAAATGCAATGGAAGACATCATCATTTTCGGAAATTCAACTACCACTCCTTCATCGTCCTTGACGAAATAAGGTGAACAGAAATCCTAAATTTGATTGACGTGTAGTCTTGAAAACCTACTCACTCGCGAAAAAAGTAATA